ATGGAATAATTTTATTGCTAAAAAGCTAATGAAAATAAAAAAAAATTAAAAAAATTAGAAAAAATAAAAAATGAGAAAAAAATAGAGCTGTAAAAAATAAATTTGATCAATATGTAAATAAAGCGCGCGCAAGGATATTAGCACTAGCACAGCAAATACGCCAAGGTATATTCCTCACCATGCATATTAGCCTGGTTTCCTGACTCATCCATTCGAGGAATACATGAAGCATAACAGGGACAGGGTACCAGATAATGCACATATCAGCAATTGGCACATATCCAACTTTTTGTTGAATATCTGATATTTTGTTAAATACGTGAAAGATATTATTATATCCGAATAATTTTGATGACTTTATTTTTCTTGATGAAATATGACTTCAAGTAACAGCAATATTGAGTCACTTCCGTTGTTTTTAAAGTCCTCACATCATGTCCTCTGTCACAAAAATTCCACCTTCTTTCCGAAGGAATTCGTCATGACCGGTTTTTACACTCTTACTATGAAAAGTGAATCCACATTTTTCATCTTTCCGAACGAAGTGCATGTCAGTGGGGACATTCTAGTCAAATCTTTTGCACTAAAGAGACCTTTCAATGTTTGTCAACAAAACTTTTACTAAATGACCCATCTTTACGCTTAGTAATTAGGGCATTGTTTAAAAGTGTTTCCCCCGTGGGGTCCATCAATGTTTATCAACAATATCAGTCTTTTGCTTGCTTAGAAATGAGGAAATTGTTTTGAATGTCTGGGAGTGGGGTCATTTACCATCCTTCTGAAGATTACGATATACCCACACATTAAGTACTATCTATGATAAGTGACAGTTGGTTTGTTGTCAATCAGAGATAACGAGGTCAAAAATAGTTCTGTTTGAAGTTTTAAAGCAATTGTTTACAGACTACGGACTATACCAAGGCTAAATAATTGATTATTATCAGTCATTAATGTAAAATTTTGAGACAACCCCCGTGTCTCAGCTGCAAGAAAGACTTCACTCAGCTCAACTTCATACTTGATGAGAGTGTTTCAAAATTTTCCAAAAGGAAGGAAAGAAAAAGGTTTTTAAGGGTAATTTATCACCTGTAGTGGAAAACAAATAACATTAAATCAAGTGTTGAAGATTGTGCTGAAATTCACTTCTAGAGCTCGTAAAACATGCTTTTTAATGTTTTTTATATGTACAAAATGTACTTAGTGTATGATTGAATGTTTAAATAGTAGAATATAGACATATAGGAATGGAGCAAACATTTACACGGACCTCAAAACATTAGAGGTGGGATCAGGTGCTGTACGTGGAGGAGTCTCCTGTCGACCGGTCACGCCAACCGTGTGTTCATTTTCATGATCCTCGAATAACGGAAAAAAATCCGTGGACGACGCAATGTGTAAATAATGGCATTATAAAGCACGCAGCACAGTTAAGGTTACAGTAAGGAGGCGGGGCCTAATTTGTACGGGAAATGTTTACTATGACGTCACGCATAATATAAGGTCTTCAAATACCACAAAATGAAATTATTCCCTATTTTAAACTGCTGGAAAGCTCTAAACTACATTAAGATTACTATTACATGCAGTTTTGTCGTTTGTTAATTCCCACACAACAGTATATCAACGATGCATCGATCGCAATGCATTTGTCAATGTGACGTCATCTCGCAAAAATGACGCAGTTTTTACACAGTCAGAGGCTGATCAAGTCACATTTTGTACAATGAAAAATGTCTTTTGTTCTCAAATAAAATATTATTTGCGGTAAAATAAAAAGCCATTAACTTGGATGCGATGTTTATTTTAATATTTTATTCATAAACTGTACGTGCATTTATCAGACAAGCGATACTGTCGTGTGTTTGTATGCAGATTCATTGAAAAAGTAATGGAAGGGCCCTAATAAATCGATTTATTGCAAAGGCATACCCTCAATGTATCTTGTCAAAATTTTACACATAAACTCAAGAAGCATTAAGATATTTGAAAAGTGCTGCGAACCTCTTGAAATATTGCAAATAAATTAATTATAGCTATATTTAATGTAGTTGACCAGCAAAATATCCAACCTGCCGTCCAACAAATTAAATTTTACCAATTAAAAAAGGGAATTTATAAAGGTTCGCAGCACTTTTCACAAACTACATATAGTGTTGAAAAGGCTTATAAAATAAACTTAGATTTTTAGCTTGGTAATGCCCTTGCAATATTGAAATTTATAGATGACCTCCAAACTGCAAGTTTAATTGCCAAAGTCATGTGACGTCGACATCACATGACAAGTCTAATTAAAAAATCTAAATGTCCCCAACATGTAGATTTAAACCACATTGTTTTTTTTTTATATCAGTTAATTCCTAAAAAGATTCTCCATCCTAATTAAGTATGTATTTTTTATCTTAAAATATCGCCAATATTTTCATTTGTAACCTTAACTGTGCTGCGCAATTTAATCTATCTCAAAATAAAGTGATATAGGTTTAATCTAACGAGAGTATAGGGGTATCCATATGAGAGAAACTTTTCTTGTGGACGTCAAAAACAATCAATCAATCATTCAATAACATTTAAATATTTTTAAATTATGTAGAGAATGATATGGAGATGACGAACAGTATTCAATAGATTATAATTATATAGATAGATATTAAGTTTACCATATCGTAGAATTGACGATTATACAAACATTAAGAATAAAAAAATAGTTATACTTCATGTAAATACATATGGAATTGAATTGAACATAAGTATAATTCATTGGTACTTCATTTCAATAAAATATATAGTGAAAACAAATAGATCAGATCGTTTAAACTACTCGATTTTTGGAGCAGAACAAACACGGGTCTCTAAAACATAAAACGTAGGATCAGGTGTAATAGAGGAGTAAACATTTCCTGTAAACCGGTCATAAAACCGTGTGCCCCTTGTCATGGATTGAAAAGAACGGAGAAAATCTTCGACCATTTAATGTGTAAATAATGATCTAGCCATGGAGGATATGGAGATAACGAACAATATTTAATCTCAAAAAACAATACAAAATAAGAGCAGATCAAACACGAACCCCCGAAACATCAGAGATGGGATCAGGTGCCATGGAGGAGTGAGCGTCCCCTGCCGATCGCTCACACCTGCCCTATGCTCCTTGTCATGATCGTGAAATAACGAAAAAATCTGTCGAAAATTCAGTGTGTCAATACTAGACTAACAATTGGTATGAAAAACCTCAGTCAGCATTTGACTTAATGATAAATTGTATTTGCTTACAAATTCATTGTGTCGACCATAGAACTTACGAAATGATGACTTTAAACGAGACGGTTGATATTCGGTTGATATTCTTGATATTCAAACAAGTTTTATCATAAAGGTGATGACGTTCACATTTCAATCGTCGACTTCCCTCAATTATACAGCAATAGACCCTCATCACCTGCATACGGTGTTAATATGAACAGCTCTTGGTTGATTCAATAAGCAAATGGATGCACTACAAATGAACAGTTAAAGCTAGGTAAGTTAGTAACAAGAAGGTGATGAGGCAGTAATCTCGGTGAAAGTCGTAAGGTCTATGGTTGACAATGAATTTGTCAGCAAATTAATGTAATCTATGAAGTCAATTTCTGACTAAAACACACACAGAAATATAATTGTTTGGTCATTATTTACAAACTGAATTTTAGGCAGATTTTTTCATAATACCGATAAACAGGAGATGCCAACTCCTTCATGGTACATGTACCTGATCCCACCTCTGACGTTTTATAGGTCAATGTTGCGACTTATAAAAATTGTATAGTTTAATGGACTTTTGAGCTTGATTTTTTTTCTTATCTTAATGCATGAATTTCATTCAAAAGATTAATTGAAAAGGTTTCTGAGTTATCAATACGTCAGGAATAAGTGACACTCTACAATTTTAGGACATGTCCCGAATATTTACTTTTGAACAAAGTAATCAAATAATCGACTAAAGAAAATACATACTTTTGCATTTTGACATCCCTATTTTAAGCAAAACTGCTTATTCTCTTTTCTTTGTCAGTAAGTAATTTTGATTTTTAAAAAAAATTATATGTAGATCATGCTTTTACGGATCAAATCAAGATCTATAAAGCACGCATTTAGGGGATGAGGATGAATTGTTGCATAAGTACGGAAGTTGACAGTAGCAAAATTACAAAATCAATTTAACAATATTTTATAAGATAGAAAAAGGATTAATGCATGGGAACTGTCAATTAGTTATTTTGCTTAATACGTTTAATCAAAAGTAAACGTTGTACCAAGTGATTTTAAGAATTCTATGTAGATGGCATTAGACATCGTTTATATAATATATATTGGTACCCTTTAGCTCACAGCAAAAGATAGCATAAGATGACAGAAGCGATAAGAATTATGTCACCTCAGACCAGTTTGCGTTGTTATGATGCATATTTACAAATGCATAGAGGTGCTACATTTATCTAAAATGCATGCCTGTAAAATGTCTTTGCCCAGTGATACCCATTTTTAGTTACATTATCTTATTAATAGAAGCGCATTTGTTGAGGACTTCCTTATCCAGGTCATTGTCTCCTCGAGCTCTACAAAGAAAAAATGAGACATAACCATATATTTCATGCCGACGAAAACAATAATTCAGGTCCTCAGTTTTAAAGCCCCCCCCCCCCAAAAAAAAAGCAAATAAAAACTCCTGGATTAATTCTAATTTCGGGTGCTTTCTGACCAGTGAATACATGCATATATATATGTTGACTTCTGAAGTTTGACGCGACCCTGCAAACAGGAATCGAACTCAAGCCTCTTGGTCACTTAGCAAACACAGTATCTCTAAGATACCGTGATCTGTTAATTTTTAAATGTACCCTACATAAAATGGTTAATTACTGTCACCATTAATGTATTTGGTGTGTTTCAAAAAATTCAAAGAAATTATATATGGAAACAATTAACTACTGCTCCATTTTTTAAAATTATGCTGTGTTTTGTAGAGAAGCTACCCTGTGTAGACAACATAAGCTACTGTAGTCAGTTTGGGGCAGATGTGTGTCAGCAGGAGTTCTATGGACAATACCTGAGGGAGAACTGTAGAAAGACCTGCAACTTCTGTAGAGGTATCTTTAATGCAAGAAAACGTATCAAAATTATACAATAGCTTTTATTTAATTTATCTTTTTATATGAAAAAAAAAACCACTTGTTTAAAACATTAGAAATGATCTTGCAACCAAAGTATTTGGCTTATCATTTTGTTAGAAAACATAAGTTAATATCGGCTCTTGTAGATGCACTTCTGGGTTGTCGAATAAGCAATCTCTGGTTCAACATATTCCTATTGTAAGTCACATGTAGTTTTATTGATGATTTCTGTTTTAGCTCCAACAGAGTACCTTGTTTCCAGAACCACCACTACCACTACACCAGGTAGGTCAACTTTTTAGTAGCACAGAGTAACTAGTGTCTAGTACCATCAGTATCATTAAAACAAGTAGGTCAACTCTAACAGATAAATAAGGTATTGTCTTTCAGGTAACTCAAAAATATGTAAAGCTAATGTCATCTTAAACATATATTTAATATCCCAGTACCTCAAAATCAGGGAAGGCAGGTGTAAAATATACCTATGAAATCAGATATTCCAATAAGTTACACACAGAATTAGCTAAGGCAGGTGTAAAAATATACAAAGTAAATCAGCTTAATCATGGACATAGTCATTACCAGTGCCCCAAATCTAGAGAATATAGGTGTCAATAATACCAGGTAATCAGATATTGATGTACATGTTAGATACCTCTCACAGAGTCATTGTCATGACCAGTACAACAACACAAGGTGAAACAGGTGTTAGACTTGTAAATAACATTTTATAATTGGTCGTCCGGTCTAACGGTTGTGGATATTTAGTATAAATGTGATATTTCTGGTAGAATGTAATCATTTTATACTTATTTCATGCTTGTTAAACATGCACGTGTTATTGTGTAATAATTTTATTTTAGTTGTAACACGTCATTTGATTGGTGAAGCGATTTTATCCATTTTGTATAACAAAACTACCTACGTCACAATGAGTTACCTAAATAACGCAATGTTCCGCTTGACATTTACTTTTAAAATATGCTATATTTTGTCTGCATTGAAGTTAAATTATAAGGAATGAAGCTTATTTCAACATATGTTATACGATAAAACATAACCTGGGGCAGTTTTTACATGTTTATAAACTGCTTCGCGGTTTATAAAGCGTAAACCGCCCCAAGTTATGTTATTTCAAGTTGGAATAAGCTTAATTTCTTAAGTAACTGATTGTTTTTTTCTTTATAGTACCAACAACACCAACAACACCAACAACGACGTATAACCCAGGTAAAGAGGACTTTTTGTCACCTATGTCACCTGATATAAATGTCAAATGTCTATATTGGGACTTTTTTATATGTGAAAAGAAACAGAAAATACAAATCTTCAATTGAATACACCTTTTTACTTCTTTAAAACTAAGTAGTTTTATTTTTGTGTCACCTTAATCGAAAATTCAGGACATGTAGATCTGCCTGTCTGCCTGCGTTTGTCCACCAAAAAATAAAATCGCACATAACTTTTGATTGGCTGGTATATGACTATTAATATTTTAAAGTTTTTAATATGTGTTTAACCTTGCAACAAAACCTTTTTCGGTACCATCATATTTCAGGTTTCGTAATTTTTTTCCTTATGACAAAGCAATCCCTTAAAAGAACTTTATTCTGTAGTAACCAATATTTGCCCCCAAAATCAAACTTTGACGGAGTAAAATTTAATTCTGTTTTAAAACAGGGGGATTCATGCTGACTTCAAAGCACTGAATGTTTTCGTCAGCAATGACGTCATATGTTTGAAATGACGTCAGGAAAATGACGTATATCTAAAATTCCAATGATTTCTAAAGAAAAATGTAAAAATTGCGACAATATTTTGAGTAAAAATCACCAAGCGCAGATGTGTTCAGACTCAGTCTTTTGATATAATGTGTAGAATAATAATATTAATTAAATATGCAAATATTGTTCCTGAACAGACATGCGCTCTATCAATTTATAAATAAAATCTTTGAAATTTTGTCCATTTTGTCCTTTTTCTGAAAAATTGCAAAATCCGACGAGTTTGTGACGTTATAAAATAAAAAATTGTCAATAACCTACTTTTAAAATATAATATGTTTTGTTACTTTATATTTTTTATACAATTTATACAAAACAACACATTTTAAGATTTTTTTCAAAATTTAATTTTTGTGGGGGCAAAGATATGCAATATACCGTATATATTTCTTAAACGATTTTGATCATTTTTTATTTAATCTTGAACATGTGCTTGGAGTCAGGCCAATCAAATTAAAAACTTGAATATTGGCCTTCAACTTTATACCGGGTTATCATATTTCACAGGAGTTGGCACGGATTATCCGCGAGTTTATGTTACGTCAACGTCATTGTTACGTCAGCATGATTGTTACGCCTTAATGCCTTATGTTTCTATAGATAACAACAGATCTAAAATAAACCACTGTATGGTCATAACTTTCAAATGGGTAAAGGTAAAGCTTATATTTTTACCTTTTTATGTTCTGGACAAGGCTTTTCTGTCCGTAAACGATTTGTACTTGGGCTTTCATATTTCAAGGTAAATTCTTATGACGAGTCATTCCTTCGGTACTAAAAATGTAGAGTTTCAGACCTTGGAAACTGACCTGTTTAAAACAAAACTTAAACCTTGGCAATAACTTTCAAACAGCATTTGTACTTTAGGGGTGTATTTATCGTAGTAGAACAATCCCCTGGAAACCAACAATTTTGATCAATTTTAGAGTTTGGCCTGCTAAAAAAATGCCGTAAATGTTTCCCTTTGATATGACCTTCTCATTTCAAAGGGCTTACACTGCTCTTTACTTAGAAGAGATAAAAACAAAAAAAAAAACTTTTAATTAATAATAATGATGTTTTACTTTGATTAATAATTGTTTTCTTTTCTTAAAATACATTGTAAATACTTTTTCATTATATAAATCCAAATAGTCAATATCATGATTTTTTTTAATTTTAGTTCTGGAATGGTGTTTGGACAGAAGAAGATACAACTGTTGGCGCTATCCTGCCGAGAAGTGTGTAGGGTTTTATGAGAACTGGTTCAGAAAAAATTGTCCATACAGATGTGGATATTGTCCAAGTAAGACTATAAGTATCTTACAATTTTTGCTGTTTGAATCCTTAACTATAAGTATTTGTGTAGCTTGGATAGCATAACAATACTTAAACAACAATTACAACTACGTCTGGCTGTCTGTAGGTAGAAAGTTTGAATTAGATATTTTACACATATATTTATCTTGGTAATCTGACTTTTGACATTTGAATGAGACCCTTGATCTAATATTTTTTTTGTTTCGATAACCATATAAAAGTAGTGTATCTTTAACACCTCTTTGCTTTTTAAATGCTCATTTACCGCTTGCCATAAAAAAATATTAAAATATTAAGTAAAGGTCTAACGTTCTAGTTGAGTTGACCTTGAGATATTAAATACCTTGAAAATATTCTGATCATAAACTGTTGACTTATAGTAAAATAAAATATATTCGTGGAGTCAAAATTTCAATTTTGTAGGAGAAAATATTACTTTGTTGGTATTTGATTTCGTATATGGAAAATGTTTAGAAGTGATGCATTTGATATATTCAGGTTGGTTATAAATTCGTTGGTATATGCCTGTCTATAACTAGAAATTAACGAAAATTAACCCCCACGAAAAGTCATGATTTCAAAGTAAATTGTCATTTTTTTTAGTTTGATAGGTAAGGCTTTGATAATTGGGATTATGTACGTCACATGATTTTAAATATACTACATTTTAATTAATTTAAAGTATATGCAATGCAATTACAACACATATTAAAATTCAGATAGCATTGTAATGAAAATATGTTTTGATTTCTTTATTACAAAAACCGTTGCTAATGGAATTTGGGAGAAGGTTTCACAAAATATGTTTTTATAAAGAAAAACAAGACCCCCCTTCAAAACCCCCATTAATATCATTTTTAATTAATATTTAAATTTCCTTATTCACTTTAGCTTTTAAGATTCAGGAATGGTATTTTTATTTGATTGTCAGATTTTTTAAAGATTCTATACAATTGGTCTAACTTCGATAAAAATTGGCAACCCCCAAAATGCCTCAACTTGAGAATACTATTCTACAGAAAAATGGGCGAATCCTTCTTACTTTATTAAATGCTGGTTTCGGTAATGCCCCTCGTCCTTATTATTAGGAAGTTGCAATCATCCTGTATACAAAAATATACAAACATATTTTCTGACACTCCCCATAACCCATTCCCTGCTGTACATGTGTTAAGGTCTCTTGCATTGATGCAAGCAGTAAAAAAAATATCTGTCCTTCAATGCATTCTAAACATCTATTACATATATGGATATTTCTTTTTTCAAGACATGTATATGTTACAAACTGCAAACCATAAATATGATGTAATACGTGACTAAACCTGATTTTTCTTTTAAAAATTTTGACCGTATATTTCCATTTCTTTACAACTACTTTACAACTACTTTGCAATAATTTAATATTAAGTCTATACATATATATTTTATGTTTTACATGTATATGTATACATTTTTTTCAGATCTTCTTCCACCCTGTGTAGATCTAGACCCAAGTTGTGAACATTACTCTTTAGAAGCTTGTACCAACCTAACATACAGAGCCTACATGAGAGAAAACTGTAGGAAAAGATGCAACGAGTGTAAATGTAAGTTTTATGGTCACTCAGTCTGTATTAACCAAGCATGAAGAGCTTACAATTGAGAAAACCGCAATACGAGATGCAACTAGCGTAAATGTAAAAAAACATAATTGAATACCAACAAGCATCTTTAGTATACAATGGGAGAGAAGATGTTTTACTTTCGTTTTAATTTTATAGCTTACTTTAGGATACTATTTGCACAGAAATTCATTAAATGTGATCAATATTTGGCCCAATGAATGAAGGATATAGAGGTAACGAACAGTATTCCATATCAAAGTTCATAGAACAATACAAAATAGGAGCAGAACAAACGCATACCCCCAAAACATCAGAGAAGAGATCAAATGCCATGGAGGAGTGAGCATTCCCTGCCGATTGGTCACACTCTCAGTGTGCTCCTTGTCATGATCGGGGAATAAATGAAAAAAATGTCGTCAATTCATTGTATAAAAAAAATCACAAACATTTACATGAAAAAAATCAGTCAGCATTGACTCCATGATAAATTGTATTTGCTAATTAGGTCATTAAATGTAAATCGACCATGAAACTTAGGAAATGAAGACTTTAAACGAGACTGCTGATATTCTTGTTTCATCAACCTGTTTGTCAATAATTTACCTAGTTGGGGTTGTTTATACGCAGAGCATGCTCTTGCGTATCAAATCAACTGAGATTTATAAACTCCTTATAGAGGTAATTTGCTGTATATCAGGTCGGAGAGAATTCTCGTAATCGGGTATTATCCTTGAAATCGCGTATAATACTCGATATTAGGGTATCGTTAAATCCGCGAAATCGGGTATTCCTTGCAACTTTCTTTAAAAAATAAAGAATAAAGCAACGGCGCATTATGCCAGTAACTGTTACTTGTACATCAGTATCTTGTGGATTTATTTTTATCAAACCTGATACATACGGTTGTCAAATAAGTTTAAAATCACACGACAAACACTGCTGGGGTAACAAAGAGGACACAATGGCTTTATTATTTTTCAATATAATTTCTAAAGTCAAATAACTACACTTCGTTTGTCTTTATTTTCCATTAAAGTATTCCATATACTTAATTTTCTAATTTGTGCACTATTCACAAAACGTGAAATTTTAAAGAAATTAAACGACTATCGCCGTGTTATGTATTTTTACTGAAAAATGTATGGTGTCCCTTTCACGTGAAATATAAATTATTCCTTACAGTTAGAGAGTACAGTATAAGCGAGTCATAATTGTATATCTCTGCCATAATAGAATACCAACGTTATTATAAAGAAGAAAAAAAAATAATTTAAATAAATACCCACGAGAAAACAGTTTGAAAATAGCTAATTGAAGATGAGTATCTTTTTTATGCCAATTTAGCATGAAATTTTTATTCAAAGACACAGTAATTTTTTTGGTTGCATTTTAATCGATACAAGGTTTGCTATTTTACCTTTATTTAATGCATTTGTGAGAAAATTGAGAGCGAGAAGTCAAATGAACAGGATTTTCTGTTTTTTTTTTTTGGGGGGGGGGAGGGGGTATGAATAAAAGTCAAATGTGTACATCTTTTCATGAGCTTATAATACATTGAATTTCTCAATATAGATTGAGGTACAGTCATATTGAAATATGAATTACATAGCCAAAATTTCACATTTCTTATAGTTTTTACGTTTATGAATATGTTAATGAACAAACTGAAATAATGGAGTGTTCAATTGCCTTGGAATCTCTTGTCTTAGTTTTTGGGAATATAAATCCTCATTGGACATTAAAATTTCATAAAAATCGTAGCCACTTCCTTTCTTTATTATACTATTTGATAGACAGGGTAAATTTAACCTCTTTACACTGTACCTTCTTTATTTTTTTATATCGCTGTCTTATACCTCATTATAATATGCTAATACAACGCACTATCTGATTGGTTCTAGACAACATGTCACAGTTTTTTTTAGTTATTTTATCTATGATATGTATTACTCATGGCAATAACTTTTCCTAATACTCATCTTTAATGAAAAAATGTGTTTAAAAAATAAATATGAATTCGTATATGATTTTTATTTGATGAATAAATCTTCCCCACGATTAAAAATATATAACCGAGTTTAACCGACCGTGACATTCAAAGAGAGGTCTTTTGGACCCATGTAGAACACAGTTGAGGTTGTTTTGTCAGAGGTGGTCAAGAAGCCTTTAACTCCTCCCCCCTTTGAAGTCGCCAAGAAATGGTAAAATATTGATGACTTAACGAAACGCAGCACTGTTAAGGCCAGAAAAAGGGGACCGGGCCTAATTTATACGGGAAAAGTTTACTGTGACGTCACACAAAAATATGACTTTTATGCATTCATCATATTACCCGAAAATAAAATAATTTGCAACTTTAAACTGTATTAGCATAATAAACAACAATAAAACTTATCAATGCATTAACAAAAGTCGCTAGTTAAATCCCATACAGCTGGTTTTTAAACAAATCACTGATCTCGATGAACTTGTCAATCATGACGTCATTTTGGCAAAAATGACGTATTTCATGTACTGTGAGAGGCAGATTTGGGAATTTTTCAACAATGAAAAATGCGATTTATTATAAAACAGAATATTATTTACAGGTTTTTAATAGGCTAATAATACCAATGCATATTCTTTGTTAAGTGCGATTATTCATCAACTATCGAGAGAATGTAATACTATTTAAATAATTCTGTCGTGTTTTAATTTTCATGTTAGGTATATTTTACATCGAGGTGCCTCATAAAATCGCTTTTTCGCAAGGGCATACACTAAATAAATCTTGACCATTTTTTGAATATAAATAAGGGATACGTTTCTTAACTTGAAAAGTGCTGCTGCTTTCTTTAAATCGAGGGCGAGATTTAACAAGTACACAAAATATTTGGTAAAAGTCAAACATATTTCGACATCAGCCTTTCTACTTGAAATTATAACTATTAAAACGCGAATTATATTCAAAGCAGCACTTTCCAGAAAGTACAAAGTATGCAGAAACAAATAATAGTTTGAATTTTTTTATTTCAACTAGGGTATGCCCTTGCGATATTGAAATTTGTTTTTGACCTACATTCCGTGTACCTACTATGCATTCATCACGTGACTGTCCATTGAAGAGATCAAACTCCATACAGTACAAAGTAGGTTATACTATGCTATTTCCGTAAGTATTAAGTTCTGTGATAATAGAACAGCTGAATAAAAATAAATTCAGTTTTAAAAACAATTCCCGTTTTTGCACTTTTATTTTCCGTTGATTTCTCATAGTAAGCCTTAACAGTGCTGCGAATTAAACGATCAACAGTTCTGTTCTCTCATAAGCTGTATTCCTGAAACTATCACTGTCTCTGCTAAAATGTTGAAGACATATTCTGCAAATATGTTTGAATGATAAAAAAAAAAAGATTTTCAAAAAAAGAGAAAGAGGGTTCTTTTTGCCGAAATTTTAGACATTTTTATCATAACATTCTTTATACATTCATAATTAAATTTGATTTTATGCACATGATGAATATGAAAGTAATTAATGGCGCATAATTAGATACGAAAGACAATCCCTTGTTTATACATGACATCATATTTGGTGTGTGAAATGTGTTTCCGTATAATTTGATTTATTTACAAATTGTTCATGTTTGTCGTGTTGATGAGGAATTATTATAAATTCCCGAATTCTGATACATTACAAATCTGTTGTGTTGGGAATGAACATTAGGAAGATGCATATACTTTCAACATAAAGAAAAATATAAAGCAAATCGAACGCCTTTTTGTGTGCAGATCATGAAATGTACTGAGATCCACGGGTTTGTTGTCCCGAGTGCATTAATCTTGACGCCCAAATTCTTACTTGGCTAGTGATACCTTTAGAAAACATGTGTATCTAGATGAAAGTTAACTCGGCAACATGCGCCATCCCTTGTTTAAGTTTTATTAGGTGATTACACCTTCGATACCCGATTTCGCGGATTCAACGATACCCTAATATAGAGTATTATACGCGATTTCACGGATAATACCCGATTTCGAGTATTCTCTCCGACCTGTATATTGCTGCATAAGTAAGGGAGTTTGGCGATTGAAAAGTTAAAGTCATCATCTTTATTAGAGAGCGTGTCTATTAGATACAAATGTAACCTTTAACATTTTTTTTGAGGTAAAATATCCAAGTATGAAACAGATGTGCCAGACTCTGTGGTATCTTTTATCTCAAGCTCTCCTGGATATATCATATCGACGTAGGAATGCAATTTCCATTGACAATAAATCTTCGATGAAGGATATGGAGATAACGAACAGTATCAGTCCAGTCCAATACGAAAATTCGTAATATTACGAAAAAACGTAATATTACGAGAAAGTGTTATATTACAAGTTATCGTAATATAAAACTTATATTGTAATTTTTCGTAATTTAGTTAAATTACGAATACACGTAATATAGCAGATGTAAGAGACTATATTACGTTTTCGTTATCCAAGACAAATTCAAGCATTGCAAGAAATTGAGTGGTGAGTAGCAAAGTATGACGTTTAATACGAGATGTCACGAGCGATAACTTGTACGACTCTTACTGAGATGTGAATTCTGTGTATTTCAATAAGAATTGCACGAACAGTTGAATTATGAGACGAGAGTGTGATTTTAGGGTAGACTTCGCAAGAAAAAAGGGGAGTTCGGGTGATATAGACCAATGCGACATGCATAAGCGAATATTGAAATTTAAAAGAAAATTGGTGTTATCCTTGGGAAAATTCCTATAAAAGGATAATAAAAGAAATTGTCCACTCACCCATCGCTGGCGGTACTTTTTTTTAAATTTCCATGCTTTCTGATAGGCGTAACTGACCAAACTGACCGCGTGCTATCAGTAGCCGTGGAATCTGATATATTACTGACGTCATACTTTGCTACCAACCACTCAATTTCTTGCAATGCTTGAATTTGTCTTGGATTAAGAAAAAAAAGTAATATAGTCTCTTACAATCTGCTATATTACGCGTATTCGTAATTTAACTGCATTACGAAAAATTGTAATAGAAGTTTTATATTATGATAACTTGTAATATTACGAATTTTCGTATTGGACTGGAATGAATATACGATCTCAAAGTCCATAAAACAATACAAAATAAGAGCAGAGCAAATACGGACCCCGAAACATCAGAGGTGAGATCAGGTGCCATTGAGGAGTGAGCATCCCCTGCCGACCGGTCACACCCGCCGTGTGCTCCTTGTCATGATCAGGAAATAACGGAAAAAATCCGTCGTCAATTCAGTGTATAAATTACAATGAATTATGGACTAACAATTGGTATGAAAAACGTCAGTTAGCATTTAACTCAATGATAAACGGTATTTTCTTACATGGTCATTGTATCGACCATATAACTTACGAAATGATGACTTTAAACGAGACTGCTGATATTCTTGTTTAGTCAACTTGCTTGTCAATACTTTACCTCGTTTTAGAAATTGTTCATTCGTAGAGCATGCTCTTGAGTATAGAATCAACTGAGATATATATACTCCGTATGCAGGTGATGAAGGTATATTGCTGCATAAGTAAGGGAAGTTGACGATAGAAAAGTTAAAGTCATCACGTGTATCATATAGCTTTTTTGTTAGATTACCAATAGTGTTTTTAAAGAAAAATATCCAAGTATGAAACAGAAGTGTCAGACTCTGTGGTATCTTTAATCTCAAGCTCATCATGATATATCGTATCGACGTAGGAATGGAAATTACCATTGATAATTGACAATACGTCGTCGATATATAGAACTGTCGAATTGAAGGCCACAGCAAGTGTTTTCCTCCCTATCAAGATTTTGCTTTAATTCTGCTTCATATGAATAAAAAAAATAAGTCTGCTAATTACGGAGCTCAATTTGTTCCCATGGGAATTCCAATAGATTGTTGGAATACCCGGTATCCAAAAACCACATAGATGTTGTCAGTCATATTCTCAAGCATCTTCTTGATGTCAACTTCAGAGTACTTATGTGTGCAATCAGAATCTGTTTTAACAAAATAATTTTGCAAATGACTAATGACGAGGTAAGTATATTTACGAGTTCCATTTTTATTGAAGTAGCAGCAGTCAATGATATCAAAAAGCATGGATTTTAATTTGTCGTTGGGAATTGTTGTGTTTAAAGTTGAAAAGTCGTAAGGTTTTAAGCTTTTTAAGTTTTTATCTAAATGTCGAGTTGAAAGACACAGCAAGTGTTTTCTTCTTTTTACGCATAAGATTTTGCACACATTTTGCCTCATACATGTATGAATGCAAACATTAGTCTGCTAATAACGGAGGACAGTTTGTACCTAGATTGTACCTAGATAGATTGTTAGATAACCAGGTCTCTAAAACCCCCATAGATATTGTCAATCGGAAAATCACGCATGTTTTTGATGTCAACTGCAGATTACTTGTGTGTTTTAACAAAATGAATTTTGCAGATGACCAATAACCAGGCAAGTAAATTTACGAGTTCCTTTTTTTAATGGAAAAGTAGCTTTCAAAGATATAAAGAAGCCTGGACTTTAATTTATCGTTGGAAAGGGCTGTGTACAAAATATATTTGAAAAGTCATAAGTGTTTGGAATCTTGAGTAGTGAGTACCCACCTCTGATACACACCACTTTTTGAATATAAAGTTACACACTACTTTCTAAAATTCTAGATGTAGATGTTCCACTGGAAGGGGAATATGACTTAATATTATTTCTCCAACTTTGTATCTCAGCATACTATAGAATATAAACTACTGAATCTTATAATATCTAGCATTTTATTTTTTAGACCCAGGACAGAATCTTGCGCCGATCACACCGCCCTATGGAGTCTATACTACAACTACGACGAGTGTGTTGTCAACAAAGAAAGGTAGATAACGGTGTTTTTTAACAGAAAAAAATGCATTTCAAGGGGCATCTGAGCTTGAATATTGTTTGTTATCGCCATACTTTTCATTTTATTTGGTCATTTTTAAATATTATTTCTAATAACAATCCTAAGTGTCCTTTACATGCTGATTTTTTTTCGAATATATTTAAAATGTTTAAATTACTATTAAACAAATTGAACGTCAAATTGGGCATTAGAGAGAGAAAATGACACTGACGTTATACATTATACATCCTTCGTTCTTGTTATTATTAAGAGATAATCATGATTTCCATATCAAATTATCTTTGAAGACAAATGTAATATATACAAGTAAAAATTTTATTTTGCTGCATAAATATCTAAAGCTAATAAAAATGAATTCATCACAAAATCAAAAAGTTAGTTTGCCAAGAATTCCTCTTGTTAAATATCAAAACAATAAAAAAAATATATTTAGTTCTTTTATTATGAAGATTGACATAATTGTATAGGCTTTAATATGTTGCAAGCTTTTTCAAAGTTTATTACGTTGTAATAAAAAATAAAACAAAAGGCCCATGGGCCACATCACTCACCTGAAAACTGTTGCTAGGAAAAAAATAGAAATTGGTTTATAATTAAAAGGTTTAAATCCAAATGAAGTCCAATGATCAATCATGGCTTTGCTATTCTTGAGAAGATGATTTTTAAAGAATTTTCCTACATATGTCTATGTAAAAATTTTATTGGTCATTGTGGCATCGCCTTAACCCCGGGTGTCATGATTTGAACAGACTTGAATCAACGCTACCTGAGGATGCTTTAATATGAATATGATCAATTATGTCTTTGCTATTCTTAAGCAGAGGATTTTTAAATAATTTTCCTATATATTTCTATGTAAATTTTTGGTCCGCCATTTTGACCCCGCTCTACCTCCGGGGGTCATAATTTCAACAAACTTGAATCTACACTACCTGAGGATGCTTCCATATAGATATGATCAATTATGACTTTGCTATTCTGGAAAAGAAGATTTTTAAAGAATTTTCCAACATATTAAAATGTAAAACTTTGGTTGGACATTTCGTCCCACTCCTACCCCCAGAGGTCATAATTTTAACAAACTCGATTCAACACTATCTGAGAATGCTTCCATATGAATATGACCGATTATAGTTTTTGTATTCTTGTGAAGAACGATTTTAAAGAATTTTCCTATGTAAAACTTTGATCACCCATTGTTGCTTCGCACTACTCCCGGGATCTTGATTTGAACAAACTTGAATCTACACTACCCGACGATGTTTCCATATATGTTTCATCTTTCCTGGCACAGTGGTTTTTGAGAAGAAGTTTTTAAAACCTGCCACCTCTTTTTATTAATTCCTAATTATCTCCCCTTGAATGACGGCATGGACCTTCATTTGAACAAACTTGAATTCCCTTTACCCAAGGATGCTCTGTGACAAGTTTGGTTGAAATTGGCTAAGTGATTCCTGAGAAGAAGTCGAAAATGTGAAAAGTTTACAGACAGACGGACGGACGCCGGACAAAATGTGATCAGAAAAGCTCACTTGAGCCTTCGGCGCAGGTGAGATATTAAAAAGGTTAAGTGCAGTCAGCTATTAAATTTCCATTACCCATCCAATGTATACACGATTTACGTATTTACCAGCATTGGAATTTAAGGTTTGAAAAACATTAAAATAGTCTTAAGTTTAGTTTGTTTCTTCGCAGTTATGGCTGCCTCAACAAAGCCAACTCTTATTGTGCCAACAGAAAAATTTGGGATTCCAATTCTCATCCCATTATTATTTCCAGTACATCAGGGCAACAAACCAGAGGAATTAAAGAGGGTCAACATTTCTTCTGGTGACGTAGCTATTGCATAATTTGTATATACTGAATTATTTACAATAAAATGTAGACATGACTTATTGATATACTGAAATTTAAATTTTCTTTGAGGTATTGAATGAAAGATCGACCTGATTGAAAATTTAATTCAAATATGTCTTTTTTCAACTTGATTCTTTCGTTTCAAATATATTTTAAGAAATATTTTGAGTACTGTATACAAGGACATTTTTACTCTCCTTTATTTGTCGAACTTCAAACTGGTCGAATTTACAAATTACACATTGTGATTTATCAAACAAAACTAAGACTGGGCGAATTTAAAACCGGACAAAATTGTTTACAAGTTCGAAAGGGCGAAAGGGCGAAAATAACACGAGGCGAAAATAACCCTGTATACATTATTAAGGTCCATCTTGAAGTCACTACCTTGCAGTTTAAGGTGACATTTACTTATCATAAAAAGGCCCTTTTTATTTTTAAAATTCACTGTAACAATGTACAACGTTAATTTTTTTTCTTTTAGATTTTCTGAAAGACCCGTGACATTCATTTCTAATTATGCTCGATTGGCGTAGGAGCAGTCTCTACCTTTCCTTACGTCTTAAGGTTGACGTAGCGCGGCGAACCAGATTCGAACCCTAGTCGTTTGGTCACAAAACGAGCGTACTACCACTAGGCTAAACTGACACATTAAGGATATTAAAACTAAAATGCCTAGAATTTATATATTCGTTTTATTCAGTGTGATTTCAACCGTGGCCCGCCAGATTAATTTTATGAAATGTTACATTCAGTGTTAATTTAAAGTGGTATTTAGGAACAGATTCAATACATTGATTGATTGATTGATTGTATGTTGTTTAACGTCCCTCTCGAGATTTTTTCATCCATATGGAGACGCCAAATAATATGTCAAATAATAATTTACGTTCTCTTATTTTTGGCATTTCTCCCTAATGATCTGTAGAATTTAATCTAATTTGCTTGAAAGCGATATTATCTTAATTCTATTTCTTAATAATAAGTGGCAAAATATGAAACGGCGAGCGTGAGTTTGTTTGATTGAGAAAATATTGATAGCAAATGTGATTTTTAAGCACAAATGCAAAACGTATTTTTTTGCTAAATTTCATGTACACAGATCTCCATTCTCTTTGTTATAATAATTAATGCTATGCATGGGTAGAAATCTGATGTATATTCCTAAAAAAAGTAATGTAGTCTGCTAGTAACACTAATTTATCAAATCATTTATGAAGGGAACGGTTTTCATAATCAACTTAATTAAAATGAGACTTCGAAGATCCACGCCGTATTTACTCTATGTTACGCAGAGTGAAAACGGCATGGACCTAATATGTCTGATTTCAAGTAGATTGATCTTTGCACATAAGTTACTTTCAAGTTTATTGGATTTTCATATTTTGTTATTCTCAGTGATAGGGAATTCCCACCTTTTGCAGCAGAGTGAAGCTTTTAATGTCAACTGCAGAATAACTGGATATAAACAGGGATCTGACATTAACGATACATCTTCTGTTGAATGGTTATTTAATGGCCAAAGGATATCATATCTTGGAATGGTTTTCAATGCCAATAAATACAGATTGCATGTAAAAACTACAAATACGTTTTTGGAGTTTGATTTGGAAATACCAGGTATTTAATACCTTTAAAACAGATAAAATTTGCTTATATTCTTGCAGTTTAAAAAAGAGATTGCTGGCAGAAAAGTTAATTTGGATAATTTTGTCTCGTTAAATGAGGGGGTAACGGAATTTGTTTAGTTGTCTTGCAGAGTTTTTCGATAAAATTACGTCCGACTTTTACTGCTTTTGTTCTTTCTAATATATGTCAGGATAATTTTCCTGATGTGATAATTTTTTTTAATGTGACCTTTACAATTTTCCTTGTAATTTGATAATATAAAAGAGACTTGCTTTCAAAATTTTAGCTTAAATCTATGGTATATTTACTGATGTATATTACGATTTCAAAATGTTTTTCATGCTCAGTAAAACATATATTGATTTCTATTTTATTTTTGTGTATCAGCTGTGACTGCAGAGGATTCTGGGAATTATACCTGCGTTTTGGGAGACAGAGCCAACAAGAATCATTTTCAAGAAAAGTCATGGTACCTACATGTAATTTGCATGGAATGCAGCCAAACAATAGTTGGATAGCTTATCTGTTTTAATGTATGAAATGTTTGAAAGCCTGGACGTGTCCTGTGGAAAACACTTCGAATTTTGGAATACATTTATAAATGTGACACAGAATTTTAAATATTCAAGATATAAGAAAGAATAAAAAAGGAAACAAAATGTTGAAAATTAATCAAAAAGGAAATTTTTTATTATTATTCTTTTTTACTTTTTGTATTTCTGCATTGAGAATATCGTTACTGTTCTTTCAAGGAGTGCTCAGATTATAAGGAAAAGCCTTAAGAATTGTTTATCAAGCATTAGAACGCTTAGGTCTGAGAAGGATCTATCGCTTCCATCAAAATTGTGCTCCTTTTATTGGCCTGATAATATTTTTTCTAGGGAAGGCTGTATGTATATATGACGTCATGCTTCTTATATTTTCAGCTTGTCGTCATTTTTATGGATAACCTGTTAAGCCATTCTTGAACCTCTTACAAACCTTTCAGAAATATTTCATAATGGTACAAATTTTCTCATTCTATAAATCAAAGGATGTGGATATCGAAAAGGAATTGTTCGTAAATGTAGAAATGCAAGGAAGCTACATATTCTGTAAAAGGTTATTGATTGGTGAGATGATAGTTTGCTTGTTAACGCCCCGTCAAAAAGTTTTCACACATACTGTTGATAAGAAAGTCACCATATACCGAAAAATGCCTTGGACTTTAAACGTATGCTCAGAACTTAGGTTCAGTGAGTAGTTCAGGCTTTTATCACAACATCGTATTGTATTTGTTACAAAAGACCTCTGTTCTTGAGGTTTCATCCGCCCTCCAAAACATGACATTTTAAAATCTAAATTTTTCACACTTTATGGACTGTAAATTGCAACAAATGATATAAACCGACATAATGATATAAACTGTAAAGACAATATATTCTAGAAATTGTTGATGGATTCCGGGTTATGGACATACATACACAATCATGTACTAATATTTTGTCTTTGTGAAGCCAACAAATTCAAAGTCATCTGGTCGCCAAGAACTATGTTTTTTTTGGCTTAGAAGACTTTCAGGCTTTATTAATCTTATGCCCTGTGAATCAAATATATGAGTATTGAAATTATATTTATCTTTCAAATAATACATTTAAGGCTCTTTGCTCTTTTTTTCTGAGCAATAGCAAATTAACTATTTCCTATAAACGTCTGTGTTTCGATTATATCTCTCCCGGATAAAATTGTAAAAGCCCATGGAATTCCCTACTCTCTCTGTGACCAGGGGCCATTTAGAAATGCTCGATAACAAGCGTTAAACCACCATCCGCCCCTATGAAGCTCAGCACAGTTAGATCCACTCCTATCGTTGTCCCTGTCTATCGTACTAAAGTCCATCCAAGAAAGATTAGCCTCGGATTCAACTGTATTTAACATAGCGTCACCTAGAATTGAAAAAAAAATAAAAATGTCAAACGTTTTGTTTAGGGAATTGCATACCTCTTTTCACTTAAATACTTTAATATACTCTACTTCATCACCTATAAACATTGGTAATTAAATAATGCTACTATTGAACAATTTAATATACAGCAACACTTGTTTGGTACGAACACGGATATTGCGAATTTACGGATATAGCGAAGTCATCTTGGATCCACACCGATATTAATTAAATGAATTTCTTATACGGTTATAACGAAATACGGATATAGGGAAGTAATTTCATAGATCCCAGCGACTTTGTTATAACCGAGTTTTGCTGTAATAAAAATAATTACGTTTTTGAAAGGTCAGACTCTAAATCACAAAAATATGAAAATAAAATAAAATATAAGAGTTGATAAGAAGAGCTAAGAAATATTCATTAAAAGTAATTAAATATTTTGCCACACATGGTCAACGATTTTGATGATACCATTTTTGCAACTTGACACCAAAAGTATAAATCAATTAAAATTTGGTTGCTTTGTCACGTTTGTGGTATTTTTAAAGCCAAATAAAGTTGGACAAAGTTTTAAATTCCTTTGAATATATAGATACAATTAAAAAAACCCAACATTTCAGCTTTTGATAAATATTTTTATTTATTATATGACTGAATAATTTTCATCTCTCTGACTGGCTGAGATCCAACTATGTTAGAAAAATACTACGTTGTATTGATCTGCACGTGACGTTCCAGTTCAATACAAGGATTTATTTCCTCTACATTGATCTAAAAATAGATTTGGAAATTCCAAATCGATACAGATTATTTTGGAAAGCTGTTTAGATGACTATGATTTTTTTCATGTGAACAAAATATAAGCGAATATATATTTTAGGGTGAGGATGGTAAGAGGGGATGCATTGAACCCCCTCCAACACTTTTACTGAACAATATTTTTTTAAATACTTTTGGCAGTCACTTTTCCCTGATAATACTCCTTCCTTTCACAATCTATCCTATAAAAAAGACATTATATATTTTTTTTAATGGCAACTAAAATTGATAAAAAAAAAATCAAATTGATACGACTGGTAAGGTTTATTCACATTTTAATTCCGTTCTCTCTTGTATTTGGCTACCACTTAATTAAATGCAAACAAGTAATGAGCTGTATCATTTTATCAGTGAATCATATAGTAAAATCATTATTGTTGTTTTTTGGTCGATACAATGATTTAGCCATCTTCGAAGTACAATATTCCCCTCGCCCTTTGGAAAAAATGAATATTGTACTCCTCAGATAGCTAAATCATTGTATTGACCTCAAAAACAGCAATAATTGTATAATATTTATTTCCACTGGAATCATCTATTTTTATCACGTTTAAAGTATAAAGAATAATTTTTTTTTCAACAAACATATGCTTTAACTTTTGAAATATATAACTTTTTAAAAACTGATGAATAAAATTAATTAACTTTGAATATTTGTTCCATGGTTTTAAGTACAAAAAGTGATTACCCGAAAACGTTTATCATGTATTTAAATCGTTCTTAGTGCTTCAAATTTTCAGCTTCTAGAAATAGTCATTGCATCCTGGTTAAATTGCTGTAAACGTTATTTATGGTGTTTTAAACAAATTGAAATATTTTAAAATTAAGGACATGCTGCGCCTCGGTTGACAATGGTTTTCTTGGGGTGAAAATTTTCAATGTTACACTCAACTACATGCAATATTCATATATAAATTCTAAAAGAAACGTTTTGCAACGTTAACGTTATAACATTTACAGCTTTGCAATGTTACTTGTGTCACACTTGTTTGTGACTTTTGAGTAAAATTTTATAGGAAACCCTTTTAACCTGTTTTCTAACTTTCCTGTGAGTTTCTCATTCAATTTATCAAGTACCTAATAATCCTGTGGCAGGTCCCCCAAGAAAGAGCTGATAATTTTCCGCTTCGTCAGAAATGTAGGTACATCTCAGTCAGCGTTTTGCCATCCGTCAGTGTGACGGAAATATGCAACGATGAATCATTGCCCTTTTTTTAATTGATTGATCACGTCATTTTCTGTTTTAAGTATATTTGAAATTGAAAAAAAAGATTTTTATTTTTTGCAAAACGAAATAATTATTTTTTAAAATAAATTGGTTTTAATATATTCATTTTTGATATATTGGGGTGAGATTCAAGCGCTTGTTTAAAGACATAATTACTTTGTTAGAATTGATCGAGCGTTTTAGAAATATATCTTTATTATGTGATATGTATGTTACATGCATTTATATTTGATACATTCCAATTTATCTTTGGCTACAAGTTACTTTCAAATAATCAAAATCTTCAAAATCATATCCACAATCAACAAACTTTTTTTTTTTAATTTTATTGTAAAAGTTATTTGAAGAAAAAAAAAACGACGGGAAGTGAGGCAGCAAGAGATTACTTTTCTATTATAAATGATACAAAACAAAAAAATAATGATCTATCGGATTTTTTTTTACATTTCATCTTAATCAAACGGTAATTGGTAAAACATGGAATTTTTTGCTGTAGATAAATTTTTAGCAAATTTGCGTGTTCACTGCATTCGCAAAAATATTTTTCTTAAAAATAAATTACCAATTAGAAAATGTAAACAAAGCAGTGGTCATTCGCAAAATTCTGAAACGTAAAAATTAATCAACAGCATTTTGACCCAGATTCGCAAAAAAAAATCGACGTAAAAAATTCCAGATTAACATAAAGAAGTATACAATTTATGGTCATTGCAGAGCAACAGAAAAATTTTATTAATGCCTTTCATACATGCATTTCTCAAATCTATAAGTTTTTCATAAATTAAACTTTGTTCAATGGAACTTAAAAACTCTATCTGTGATCTCAATTAAAAATTTTTTAGCATTTACAAAATGTTTCAGAAGGTTTTAATGTTTTTAAACATTTATATTTTCATTTACAGAAAGTACACGCTGAAGACCAATTAATTTTAGTCCGTTTTATAAAAGTATCAAATTTAACATGTTAACCATGCAAATCATGCTAATATATATTTCCGTTTTACCGAATCAAAAGTTTGTTCATTTGATACAATGACCTTGTCATCAAATACAATTTATCATTGAGCCAAATGCTAAACGACTTTTTTTCATTCAAATTGTTAGTCCATTATTTATACACTGAATTGACTACGGATATTTCTGCTATTTACCGATCATGAGAAGGAGCACACGGCGTGTGTGACCGGTCAGCAGGGGACGCTCACTCCGTGTTTGCTCTGCTTCTATTGTTTTACGGACTTTGATGTTGAATATTGTTTGTTATCTTCATATCCTTCATTTCAGACCAAGATTTACTTTTTTAAAATTATGTTTTGATGGAATAGTGCCTTGTAGAAGGTTCCTTATTTATTTCTAAACAGATTGAATATTGATCTCCTTTAAAGTTTGTGAATTTACTTTGGTGAGGGTTAGATCAAGGGCGCATTCTGTTCCTTTGAAATGCATTTTAGTCGGAATTAAGACTTGTTTAAATTGCATTGGGAATCAATTTACACATGGTGGCAGGGAATTAGTAAGTTTATAAAATACTATGCAAATGTTTGATATAAATGCTATTCTTCCAATATACAATTTAATATCATTACATGACATACTATCGAGAACTGATATTAATTCATTATGAAATCCCATGTATTTTTCTGTATCTATTTAAGTGAAATTTCTATAAAACCTTAACATTTGAATTTTATTAAACATACGTATTTTGTGCAAGGTATTGCAACATCCAATTCAAAAACAAAATATCTCATTTTTTATGTAATTTCTTTTTTATTCAAACTGACAATATTGTAATATATAGAAGAACGAATTCACCAAATAAACCAATCGTTTTTACATTAAATTTTTTCGAAATTTGTTTTCAAAAATACATGCATGATAAGTGCTTTTCTTAAAATAATCTTCATTAAAATTCGTAAATTTGGTTAAAGTTAGATTAGAGATATATAAAAGCACAGCCCTAAGTGATATCTTTTATGTACAACCAATTGCTAATTTTCGGACGCTTTATATTCCCCAAGTGCTAATTAACGTCTTTGATGAAAAGTTTAAACAAACAGGGATTAATCTCAAGAATTTAATCAAAAATACATGTTTGCGTAGAGGAAATAAATAAGGGCGTATAGAAATTCAAGAGTTTGGATCAGGTCCCTAGGTGGATTAACCATCCCCTCTTGATTGGTTACTACTGTCATGAGCTCAATGTAATAATTATGTATACATAGATCAAATTTTCCTAGTCAAATGCAGAATAAAAACAAAGACCTTACACTTATATGAAGCAAGTAACCCAAAATACGACCAAGGAGTTAGTTATATTTGCTAACAAGGTAAATATAACGTAAAAGATACGTCCCTATAATGACCAAATGATAAATTAACTAATTACCGTCCACCCTCCGTCCATGGTCTCCATATCACAGTAGGTTTTTACAGACTCAGAGCTAGGTCCAAAGGGACAAATACTGTACACACCCGACTCACTGTAACCATTGCCTTTAGGGGCCTTACAATCTGTAAGCAAAACTGAAAATGACATTTTAAAAAATTATAGGAATTTTTCGTTGTTTTATTATTCATAAGTAAGCAATTTAAAATCCATTTTTTTAAATGTAGGTCTGACATCAAACTCCATTTCCTATATAATTGTCTTCATTTACATATACTTCATATACATGTATTTTCATTTATTTATAAATTTGAAGTAGAAAATCTTTTTCAAAATTTTGATGTGACGAAAATAAAACCCAATAAAAGACTCCAACATTCTTCTTATCGCGAAATTTTCTTAGAAATATCACATTATATTTTGAAATAAAATCTAAAATAAAGTATAAAATAAGGTAACAACGATGTTTACTTTTAAATGACATTAAAATTATAAAAAAAATAGACATTAAAATTATAAAAAATAGATGTAAAAAAAGTTCAGTTAAACATTTCTACATTTTACCTGTACAATTGTCTCCAACATAACCATAAACACAGTTACACTTATAACCTCGTTCACTGGACTGGTCAGCTTCACACAAGCCTCCATTCATACAAACATTGGTGGCACAAACACTAACTAGAATGAAAGATTTGTTTTTAAATCATGCTAAAAGAAAATTATATCTTTTGACATTTACCTTAAAAAAATGCTAAACTAATTATAAACCACATTTAAAGTCAAAAGGTTATTATAATAGTAAATCATGTGTTCCATTCAATTTCGCATTATTTTTCAACGTAGTTACACCCCGTGGAGATCCAGGTTAGAATAAGTTCTCAGTACCCACTTGCTTGTCGTAAAAGGCGACTAAATTGGGCGGTCCTTCGGATGAGACCGTATTAACCTAGGCCCCGTGTCACAGCAGGTGTGGTACGATAAAGATCCCTCCCTGCTCAAAGGCCCTGAGTGCCAAGCATAGGCCTAAATTTGCAGCCCTTCACCGGCAATGGTGACGTCTCCATATCAGTGAAGTATTCTAGAGAATGACGTTAAACAGTATACAATCAATCAATCAATCAATCAACTTAGTTACCTATTTTCTGTGATGTTTTGTTTTATCCCTTGTCCATTCTAAATTTTTTCCCCCTAATTTTATCAAAGATACAAAATTTTCTGTTCATAATTCGACTTCATTTTTATTGAGAAGAAATCTAGGCAAAAAAGAAACAAAAAGACAGACAGCCAAAACATTCACAATTGTTTAAAAAATAACCAAGAACACATTCACACAAGGAATGCCGGACACTGGACTCGTCTGCTTGGAACCACCATTCATACGGTCATGATTTTTAGAAATACAAACTAATAAAATATGTGTTTTAATTGATTTATTGATTGATTGTATACTGTTTAATACACCTCTTGAGAATGTTACACTCATATGGAGCAGTCACCGTAAACCTGTGAAAGGCTTCAGGTTTAGACCTATACTCGGCACTCAGAGTCATTGAGCAGTGAGGTTTTTTAAAATCATTTCCAACGCCTATCTTGAAACGGGACCTACATTTTTAAGGTCATATCAGAAAGACCAGTGACTTTCACTTCTAGTGCCGAGCGCTTGACGAAGGAAAAGTCAATTCCTATGTTTAAGTCTTAGATATGACGCGGCGCTGCGAACAAATAATCGAACCCGGGCCTTCCAATCATGAAGCGAACGCTCTACCAATCGGCTACCGTGACCGGTAAGATGTGTTTTGGAATTAATTAATTTTTACACTTGAGTATTTCCCTTACAACATATAACAAACAAAAATATTACTCAAGGTTATCAGTTTGGGGAATTTAATGTCTGTGCTGACTGACGTTTTTCATACCAATTGTTAGTCCATTATTTATAACCTGAATTGACGACTGATTTTTCCGTTATTTTATGATCATCACAATGAACACAAGGCGGGTGTGAACGGTCAGCAGGGGATGCTCACTCCTCCATGGCACCTGATCCCACCTCAGTCGTTTCGGAAGTCCGTGTTTTCTCTGCTCCTATTTTGTATTGTTTTATGGACTTTGATATTGAATACTGTTCGTTATCTCCTTCTGTAAACTTTTTATTCTATTTTAAAACTTTGGTATTTTTCATTTTGTAATATTCTAATGTCACCAAAGATACATGTTGATACAGGAATTTCCAATATTTCAATTTATTTCATTGTCTGCTATATATATGCATCTATTTAATGATAAAAAAGCCGGGTTTGATTGATGATATACAGAAATTTCAAAATTATCATCGGGTTCTGATTTTCTTTTAAACCTTGGTTCTGAATAGAGAGCAGACTCTTATTTAACTATATAATATATACTTAGTAAAAATACACAGACTCATCTGCCACACAGTCTCCTCCATTCTTATATTGATGGCTGTCACACAAATCGGCTATAGAAGAAAACATAAAAATATTATGTACAATAAACAACATTTGTATGGCATTGTATTGTCATAATATATTAAACTAATGATTTTATCAGGAGTCCCGGGCTCTAATATAGACTCGGTAGGTTGGCATAATAAAAAGAAATGAGCATTTTTTTCACTCATAAGGAGATGTCAGCATTTTCCGATAAAGTCTCCAATTTTATACCTTTACTCGACACCCGGGATCATTGAGCAGTGAATAATCTTTTTCGTGCTACCTCCTACTTGAACAGCTCTCGGTTTTAAGGTCTCATCTAAAGGTCTTGTAACTCTCACTTTTAAGTGCTGCGTTCTTGGCGAGGAAACCGTTGCAAGCTATTTTGATTGACTTAGGTCAATCGCAAACTCGAATTCACAACCTTCCGATCACGAAGCAAGCGCTCTACTGACATTAAATCAAATAAGAAATTAAAAAGACTTACACTCACATATTTCCTTGGTAAAGCCTTCTGGACAAGTACATATGAACTCAGTCCCCGTTGATTCCACGCAAGTCCCTCCATTCAGGCAGGGATTTACGTTACAATTCGTGCATGGAATTATTTGAATATAGATTACTAATTTTTACAATTCATATCTTGTGGGATTTTTTTTTTACTTTTTTAAAAATGAAATTGTTAACTTTGATTTAATTCTCCAAACGCCCAATGTGAGACTGTGAACGAGTTAACACTACAACATATCTTTGCCTCATATAGATCAGAAGTATTAAATTCTTTACAGATTGTACAGCAAGCTTGGAGATATTTTTGATTATGTATTCTTTGCTGATATATATGAGACAGAATGAATCTTCCAAACACTGAAAGGCAATAAAGAGGTTGATATGTTCCCAATATTCCACTAATTTATATGAAAAAAAGACTTTTATAAGTACCAGTAGACTAACATTTGCTGAACTACATTTTAAGAACTATTTTAAACATTTCTTATCACTGTATATCGATATCTGATATTGAGATTTTACTTTTGCCATGGAGATAAATATCTGTTTAAAAGTCAATAATATATGTTGAATCAATCTGAAATTTAACACTAGTACTCTATGGTAAAAATCAATACGATTTTCCCTTATAACAATTATTCACTTTTTATTGATTAAAGCATTCGTCAATTTACCTATGTTCAGAGACCCAAAAGATTGAATTTGGAGGCTTTTTCTAACTATATTGTTCAATATTTATCACAGAACTAATATCTGATACAGTGTTTCATTAAGTTGTGTTGTTAATTGCTTATTAATTACTTAAAATGTGCATAGTTTTATGCACCTGAAGAAGAATAATTTTATTCATCTTTAAAGATCTTTATGACGTCTTCAAAATAGTTAAGTAGGAAAAATTTATCGGCAAATTTTCCAGATTAGGAAACCATAACCTAAACACTTCTTTATTTATCATATATGGATCATAGTCAAACAGAAATCTTTGTCTTGAATATCATTAAAATCCTGGGAATTTTTATGCCTTTTATAAATATTTATGCACATTTTGTCTGATTTTTATATCGACTGGTACTAAATATCTTGATAGAATATACGCAAAATTAATTAAATTGAATTTCCAAGTTTTTTTTTCTTTGTTTAATTTGCTTAGTAAACTTTTAATATCATTGGGTACTTTTGAGAAATGATAACATGGGGTATTTCATGTTGCCGTGATTGTGCTTTTATCAGTTTAAGTAGACTTACAATGCGTATTTTCTCGCTATTCAAGTAAATTTGCTGTTAAACCTGAAGGATACACGATCGAAATGGTCATAACTATCTGGAAATAAATCATATTATTAGTATTATTATCATTATTTTAATCATTATCAAAATTATCATCATCATCATTATTATAATCATTGTTATTATTCTCATTATTAATATCATTATTATTACTCAAATCTTTACGATTTTTTTTGCCCATATTAATTGTCTCTTTAAGTTTTGATAAAAATTGAAAAGAAAAGAGGATATAAATAGAAATGGCTTATATTAAATTTAAAGTTTTACAGTTCAAAACAATCAATAATAATTTATGCAATGGTAATTATAGATGTGGGTTATTCTGAAAGTGTTGAAATTCTGAATTCTGAAAGAATTGAAATTATAAATATTTGAGGTAGGGTTTACTAATAATTCTAATGAAATGAACTTAACACTAAAGTCTGCATTGTTGTGTGTCGTTAGACAGACTGTCATTTGTCATCATCAGGTATATACCGTATAAGTAGAAATTTTAGTGAGGATTTAATTTTGGCATTTTTAGCGAGGGTGCTGAGATCGCTAAAATTGAGTATCGCTAAAAATTAATTGCGTTATATATATATGTTATACCTTCTCTAGTAAACGTTTTAAAATCGCTAAAACTACTTCTCGCTAAAATAAATTATCAGTTTTTAGAGAGAAATCGCTAAATTTGCGTCACGCTAAAATTTCCACTTATACGGTATTCATTGACAAAAAAACTGATGGTTAAGCAAGATAAATTAACATCCAATGATTGGCCGTATATTTTCTGTTTGACAACGTTTTGATTTTGTTTTCGTTGGAATTGTCATCGGTGATTGTAACCCCTCAAAAAAGGTGTTTAATCCACTTGTACTATAGATGCGATAATATATTTCTTTAAACTTACTTTCTATAGAGGAAAACAAATGCGTCATAAAGTTGGAAATCACTATATTTTTTTGTCTCGATCCAGAATTCAAAAGTTTAAAAACGAATCTAAATTTTGTTTTTTTAATTTTAAACAACAGCTGTAAGAATAAATTTTAAGTTTTTTTTCTGAATAGTTAGTATCAAAATAGGATTTATGAATGCCTAATAATCCTTTAATGTACAAATTATATTAAATCGAGAATGCATACTCTACTTTCCTTAGTAGAGCGCTCGCTCCGTGATCGGGAGGTCGTGAGTTCGTATCTCGGCCGCGACTGACCTAGTCGATAAAATGGGTAGCAAATGTTCCTTCGCCATGCGCTCGGCACTTTGAAGTGAAAGTTGCGGGTCCTTCATATGAGACCTTAAAAACCGAGGCCCCAGCTGCAGGCGTTGGCACGATAAAGATCCTTCACTGCTCAATGGCCCTGAGTGCCGAGTAAAGATCAAAATTTGAAGCCCTTCACCGGCATACGGTGACGTCTCCATATGAGTGAAAAATTCTCGAGAGAGACGTTAAACAATATACAATCAATCAATCAATCAATCAATTCAGTGGCATAAGAAAAATAGAACTTCCATGGACGTTGATTAGAGGTGTGGCCGCTTTTTGGAGGCTCTGTTTTAAGTGTATGTCCTCTAGACAAATTAAAAGTGTTAATGAACGTTGTCAGCTGACGTACTGTTCTTGACATTGCTACTGAAATTGGATCATCATAAAGAAAAATGAAGAGTTTTTTGAAATATGAGTGAAAAATGAAGATAAGTTGATGCGAGAGGATACCCAGGCTTTTCTTGAAAAAAAAAATAGAGAAAGGGGCAGAATTTTGTAGAATTAGGTATTTGAATTGGACATTAGGGCGAGACATATCAAACTGGACGTAACGTCGAAGTCTCCACCGGGTTTCACAACTATCCATTTTCAGAAGGTTCGTGTGACCATATTGGTGATTGGAAAGTGGTGAAATTTTCCAATATTTTCCAATATTGTTGCATTGTGACTCTTTATTATAAATATGCCTGTTGTTTGCTTTTTTCAAATCATGATAGAAATTCCACGAGCTTTTGGATAAACCTCGTAAATAACATGTATCAGTAAACATGCATGACAGGTAGAGTTATGAATGGTATCTTTAGACATTTTAATAAAAGCATAAATCTATTATTGTAACGATCACTATTGCACTTGTATATATAATTTGTATTTCCTGCGTCTTGTCCCTATGCCTATTTTACCAATAGTCCTTGCAAGAGAGCTAAGCCGACCAGAAGAATTGAGGCCTGGTCATTCCTGGCAAAGAAACGTAGCTGCAGACACGTTCTTTTAAGCAGCTAGTTTATGTTAATAGCCATTCAAGCTTTATCTTGACACTGGCACGGAGACAGGTACGTGGTAAGTATTTACTTATGATATTATGATATTATTTGCTTTGTATATAGTTTTTTAAGGCAAATTTATTATTGAATACAATTTCGTTCTTATTTCTGAACTTGGCCAGCTCTCACCATTTTACCTGTTGTTCACTCAGGTATGATGGTTTAAGCGAGAGTGTTCGAGTGGCTCTTGTATTATATCGATAACATTTAAAGTTCTTATTTTTAAATGTTCACTATTTTCTTGTACTCAGTTTTGGTACTTTTATGTAACATATTTTGTCCATTTAAATTTTGGTTTAAATGTTTTGGCGGACTTGAATGACCGGAAGTTGAAAGTAAGTCAGTAAAATGGGTAGCAACTGTTCCTTCGCCATGCGCTCGGCACTTTTAAGTGTAAGTTGCGGGTCCTTTGGATGAGAGCTTAAAAACTGAGGCCCCGTGTCAGCGGCAGGCGTTGGCTTGATAAAGATCCTTCACTGCTCAATGGCCCTGAGTGCCGAGTAAAGGTCAAAATTTGAAGCCTTTCAACAGCATACGGTGACGTCTCAATATGAGTGAAAAATTCTCGAGAGGGACGTTAAACAATATATACAATCAATCAATCTAATTTTGGTAATATTTGCTACATCCATATACGATGGCTGTTCATTAGATATTGTCCTCAATGCTCGAAAAAAAAAATCAAGGTTTTCGCGATCGATAATTTGCGATTTCCTTGAAATACTGAATACAGGGAAATTTCGTCTGCGGTTTATTTTCGCCCCAAGCTTTTGTTCTTCTAAAAATCTGGCGAATTTTAACGGGATTAATTTGTAAATTAAAAACAGTATGATTTAAAACACAGAACTGAAATTAGACAAATTTGAAAAAAGTGTTTAGTTGTTTGCAAGTGTGAAAGGGAGAAAAAACACAGGGCAAAATAACCTCAATTTGTACAATGTTTTCCAGATAAATGCAAATATACATTAGCTGTTGCATAAAATGATTGTTACACTGCTTGTTATCTTGAATATATTACATTTTAACAACCGAATATATACGCTGCTGGCAAAGTCCCTGTAACGGTACCTTATTTAATCATTAGAACAAAACTGTTCATTATCTACATATAATTTATATACCATCTAAACGCATTGTTTTCAATCAATTCTATTCATTTAAAATAATTGTTCTCTCAAAATGATGTTTAAATTTTAAGACAACTTTTTTTTATTTTTGAATGACAACTTTTTTTTTATTTTTGAATGATTTAATTAGATTAAAATTGATTAATACATATATATTTACTATTTCAAGACCTTAAATTTCTAGAATAAGATCTGGAAGAAAACCTTCTTATATTAACTGTAAAATGTATTGTTGGTTTGAACATATTTTATTGTAATTTCTAATTACAAAGGGATTGGGCACAAGTTCTAAAAACTTATGGCGTCCTATCCCTCTAGTTTGTTCTCGACTCGTTAATAGAAATATGGAAAGGGAAGGGAATGAAATGAAATCCTCTATGACATGTGATACAAGCTCTGATACTTTGATCCTTGTTTTCTGGTCCTAATTTGTTTTAATGTATGGACTTTTTGGCTTGGATACTGTTCGTTTATTTCCTTATTTGTTGTATAAAAATGTCGTTGTATTTTAAAAACAAATGGACATAATACAACTACTTATACACAAAGCAATCATTGTAGATCTATACTCAGATGATTTTTGTGATAATATTGTTATGTTTATCAAGTATTTTTATTAAAGATATGCTGTAATCTTTTCTCATCAATGTTCTGAGTACAATTTCAAAACAACAACAACTATTGCAACATAAAGTGAGAAAGGAGAGAGTCAATTATGGCTGGTACCTGTTTGAATATATCAAAAGAAACCTACAATCAGATACATAATATTCAGTTTTATTTGTTTCAATGTACATGTACATGTATGATACAATTCAAGATAAAAATAAATTGCACCGGTAGAGTACATGATATTGGTATTTGAAACTATATGATGTGTCTAAAGTAGTGGCAATATCATTTACAACTAAATAACCTAACGCAAATTATTGAAGTTTTGACACCTTCCATTTGTGTTTTTAAACATGAAATATATAGGATAACGAACAGTAACAATACAAAATAGGAGCAGATCAAACACAGACCTCCAAACCATCAAAGGTGGGATTGGGTGCTATGGAGTGATGTACATCCCTTGCCGACAGGTCAAACCTGGGTTGATAATTGACTAAAAATTACGAAAATATGACTTAAAAACGAAATGCTGATACTTTTGTTTCACCAAATCGTTTTGTCAATAATTTATCTTGTGATTTCAGAGTATCTAAAGCAGTGACCGTGTCAATTACAACTTAAATAAAATAAAATGAGTAAAGTTCTTTTTTAATTTATGCAAAATAGTCTACTTTTCACTAATTTCTACTTTTCGTTTAAAATTATGAAATTTATGATTAACAGGTATGAAAAAAAAATCCAGACAATTCATTGTGTAAATAATGGCCTAACGATCAACGTAGAAAGCGTCAAACAGCATTTGACTTCATGTAAGATCTTTAGAAATGGTGGCTTCAAAGAAGACGGCTGATATTGTTTGATTACTAGTAATCAACTTGTTTGTCAATAATTCATCTTTTGTTTTTAAATTGTACATACGTAGAGCATGTTCTTGAGATATATAAACTATGTATGCAGGTGGTGCAAATATAATACTGTATAAGTAAGGAAAGTTGACGAATGAAAAGTTAAAGTGATGTCTATGATAGAGCTTGGTTTTTCAAATGTGCCAGACTCCGTTACGAGAGCGTAAACGTATCTACAATTATTGTGTTAAATTATTGTGCATTTTCTTACTTGACGTATATTTAGGGAATAACTATCTTCTAATTTGGTATTTGCGACCGTTAATGCTGATTTAACGGTCGCAAACTGAGTTTTACCGGCGACGCGTAAGCGGAGCCGGTAAAACGGATGTTTGCGTCCGTTAAATCAGCATTAACGGTCGCAAATACCAAATTAGAAGTTTATTTATTCCCATTCTAATGCAATCCATGCATTTTGTTGTTTACGTCTTATTTTGTTGAATTTTGATACATAAAATACGTCACGGAGCATTGTATTTTTGCGTCGCTCTATTATGACGTCACAATGAAAAAGCTTTCACGCTCGTTAATGCTCGTTTTACTGCTTCAAACATCAGTGCATTAGCCAATCAAAACGTGTTTTACAAAACAATTGCATTAGAATGTCTTATCAACATATAATCTGTTCTGACCTTTTATTTTCATTGATATGTTGACCTGTATCAGGACATTTTCATATTATTTAAAACGGCTTAATTGTATGATGAATTTCATTGCTAAAAGTTATAGCAGCATAAAAGAAATATAGATAAAACAAATATTAATATAATCATAACAATTAAAGATATCGATGTAGTTAGCTCGACACACATGTACCTACACAATAAAATTTATGTATAATAGTTACATTAATGTTAATATGCCAGTTTTTCTAGGTTAGTTGTTTGCAAATTATCGGTCTCGAACTATCTTCACGGGCATAGGAATTCTAATGAAACATCACATCCTCAGATTCATTGATGGCACATGCACAATATCATGGTGTCATAATGTAAAGTATTAAATATTTGTTAAATGGTTTTACAGAAAAAAACATATTAAGGAAGAAAGGGAGGAGGGAGATGATCAATTATATTGTCCACATTAACGCAAATATCAATTCTTATAAGATAAGGCAAAGCAATGCTTCCAAAGTCTTGATCCTCTCACCCACCAGCTACCAAAGATAGCTATCAATATCAAAGTCAATAAAACAATAAAAAATAGGACCAGAGCAAAATAGACCTCTGAAACATCAGAGGTGCGATCAGGTGCCATGGAGGAGTGAGCATCCCCTGGTGACAGGTCACAACTTCCATGTGCTCCTTGTCATGATCGGGCAATAACGTAAAAATCCGTTACGGATTACAAAGGGTAAACTGACTCAAACCGGGTTATATCGCATAATTTGGCCAAGAATTAGAGATATTCGTTAAATATTGATAAGGTAAGACATATTCCATTTTATTTTTTTTAAAGAATAACAAACAAATTTTCCGGTGTCAAAGTTTTTTTTTATTGAAACAGCCGTCATGTTGCGTACTTTATTATATCCAGGTACTGTATGTTCATTTCACTTGATAATCGTAGTCTCATCATAACTCCTGAAATCAATCAAAAACTAACAGTTAATAAGGTATTAACACCAAATTTTGAAACAGTCAGCAATTTTTATACAAATCTCAAATATTTTGTAAGACTTGTATAATAATATCAAGGGAAAGAAAACAAGTATGTATTTTTTATTCTCGTGTTTGCCTTTGTCGGCCGGATTTGTTAACTATTACGCATATAAAGTTATGGGTACATAGTTCTCGTAAAAGTTCGATAAAAACCAACAGCAATGCATAATCCACTCTCTTTTTTTCCTTCTATTGAATGTTGTACCAGATTGTACTCACTCTCTGACAGATGTAATACTCCTCCATCGAACAGTCGTGGTCTACCCAGCGCCCGATCCCATGCCAGTTTGCCAGTACACAATCCTCTCCCCAATAAGCGTCGTTGGGGTCTCCGTCGATCCAGAATGTGAAGGAGAAAGGTTGCCCCCGGGACGTCCATACAAACTTCCCCTCATCCTCCAGGTCAGAACCGCCCAGCCAGTAATAGCTCCCTTCACCTGAAAAACAATGTTTGAACTAACAGATTTTATTGCAATAGTTCACAAAAGTTAACCCCAAATGATCATTTTTAACTAAACTTAAACTAACCCACCTAGTCTCTTGCTAACTACATGTACGGTTGTTAATTTTGGTATAAAACCAACTGACACTGAATTATACCAGATTTGTAAGTTAGATTTTCTACATTTAATATTTGATTTAACAATCTGAATTGGGTCTGTAAGAAAATCTTAGTAAATTAGGGTTGAAGAACACATTTTTTTGAAGGATATATATACTCAGTATATATAAGCAAAGTTTTTTGGGTGGGTACACCATCTCTGTCCACGACTATCCCTTGTTCCAACATACATGTACATGTACCGATATTTGCTAAAGAAACTGTAATCAAACGTTTATTCGCTTTATCTTATATTCTCAATTCTATTCTTCAGTTTAACATGAAACAGATACGACTGAGGAAATATTCTCTCCTAATGAAAAAGCAAAATAATTGGTTGTCGACGATTACTATTCGTTGAAAGAGTAGTTTTTAAAAACTAGGATGACATGACCATTTTTTTCTCCCCAACCCGGATCAACGCTGTTGATTTTTAGTGCATTGATATATTTTCTTTTATTAATAGACATCAATTATATATTTATTAACAGTTTTCATCCACAACACGATTTTAAACATTTTACTCACTTTGGACAATCATCTTTGAAACGATAAAATTGTTGATGTCTTGTGTGGTCGGTTCAGCCAGAATTGAGTCAATTGAACGACATTTTCTCTGTAATTAAACAAGAGGCCCATTGGCCTTATAGGTCACCTGAGCATTATGCAACAACTTTCCAGTGATTAAATTTGATTCATGTTTTAAGCCAGATGCTATGACATGATTCACAATTTTATTGGCATCATTGATCTTCATAACTATACACTTAGCAGTTGCTTAGTTTAGTTACTTAACACCCATAGGAAAGGCAGAGGAACAAAAAATGCATTTCAACTAATCAGTAATATTCAGCAATAATCAGTAGTGCCCCTACCACACATGAACCCCTGACACTTAGGCCTAGATCCACACATTGCACAATTTTTGAAAAGGCATCCTTGCTTTTCAAAAATATTTGATTAATACCAAGGAGCAGATTTCAAACAATTCATTCATTTTTAGTCTATAAGTACAGCCCCCTCCTCTATAGTACCCTGATCCTGGGGCCTTGAAATTCACAATTCTGGAAGAATGGGTCTTGATTCATAACTATATAGGTAGTTCAACTGCTTAATACCCAGGAGCAGAGAAGAAGATTTTCAAAGAATTCAAGTATTTTCACTATATAATCAATAGAGCCCCGCCCTAACTCCAGAACCCCGACCCTGAGGTCTTAAAATTCACAATTTTGGCAGAGGCACTCTTGCTCATTATAACTATGCACTTAATTAGTTTATTTTATACCTAGGAGCAGAGAAGAAGACTTTCAAAGAATTCATGTATTTTCACTATATAATCAAAAGAGCCCCCCACCCAACACAAGAACCCCTGACCCTGGGGCTTTAAAATTGACAATTAAAGTAGAGGCACTCTTGTTCATTATTATAACTATGCACTTAGTTAGTTTATTTAATACCTAGGAGCAGAGAAGAAGACTTTCAAAGAATTCATGTATTTTCACTATATAATCAATAGAGCCCCCCCCCCCCAACACAAGAACCCCTGACCCGAGGGCCATGAATTTCATAATTTTGGTAGAAGTACTCATGCTCATCAAAATTATGCACTTATTTAATCTATTTGATACCTAGGAGCAGAGAAGAAGATTTTCAAAGAATTCATGTATTTTCACTTTATAATCAATAGAGCCCCCCCCCCCAATACCAGAACCCCTGACCCTGGAGTCCTAAAATTCACAATTGTGGTAGAGGCACTCTTGCTCATCATAACTATGTACTTAGTTAGTTTATTTAATACCTAGGAGCAGAGAAGATTTTCAAAGAATTCATGTATTTTCACTATATAATCAATAGAGTCCCCCCCCCCCCAAACACCAGAACTTCTGACCCTGGGGCCCTAAAATTAACAATTTTGGTAGAGACACTCTTACTCATCATAACTATGCACTTAGTTAGTCGATTTAATATCCAGGATCTGAGAAGAAGATTTTCAAAGAATTAATGTATTTTCCCTATATAATCAATAGAGCCCCTCCCTAATACCAGCAACCCTGACCTGGGGCCATAAAATTCACAATTTTGGTAGAAGCACTCTTTCTCATGATAACTATATAGGTAGTTTGTTTATTTAATAACCAGGAGCAGAAAAGAAGATTTTCAAAGAAATAATGCATTTTCACTATATACTTATTTAGCCCCGCCCTAGCACTAGAGCCCCTGACCCAAGGGCCATGAATTTCACAATCTTAGTAGAGGACTCAATGCTGATTACAATCATGCAAACAGTTTGACTGCTTGATGTCCAGGAGTAAAGAAGATTTTTAAAGATTGCATTAATTTGAGTGGTTTTGGCCCCACCCCTCAGGCCCCTGGGGGGCAGAGATCATGAAATTCACAATTTTTGTTTCCCTTCACCCATAGATGCTTTGTGCTAAATTTGGTTGAAATTGGTTCAGTAGTTGCAGAGAAGAAGCTGAAAATGTTCAAATGTTAACGCACAACGCACGACGCACGACGACGGACGAAAACAGATAGCAATAGGTCACCTGAGTTTACTCAGGTTACCTAATGAATGATGAAATTAATTAACTATAGGTCTAAACATGCTAGACAAAATAGTATTTTAAAATATATGTATCTCAATTTTCTGTTAATGATAAATAGCTATTTGTTAAAACTTGTAAAAGTGATCTTAGGAAGGATTCGAACCGATGCGTCGGCCCAATCGAGTTTGTCATCACTGAAGAGGAAGCAGTAATTGTTGTGTTTTATCCAGGGGTGAGGACAACTCCGAGCTGAAAGATAATAAACATTGTAATTAACCACACTTGTTCTACTGATTGATAAAAATGTCATTTATCATTGTATTACCCTATATAGCTAGATAGTTCAGTAAGCTATAGATACAGATCGTCAGTCATCAACATTTCCCAACACTAGTTCAACTGATAGATTAAGTTTGTCAGGCATTCATAAATCTCCATACGTGTTCTATTGATAAACAATTTCACATTTCATTGTATAACCAAATGAGCAAGGAGAAAATATACAAAATATATGTCTTCAATATACCCCATGTTAGTTTAGCTGATAGATAAAGATTGTGAGTAATCCAAATATTAGAAATAATCTGTGGTGTAACAGTGTAATAAAATGCCGAGCAAGAGGAAAAAGTCAACTTATACTCTACTACGCTAGCTTTTTTTTTTTTTTGCTAACGAAGTTATAATGACTTTTTTTTAGAAATGCTGATGAAAAATGGGATTATATCATTGTATCCTCCTTATAAAAGAGGATTTTAAATTCCTGAAAAAGTATCTTACTTTTAAGTACCCGGACTAAGTCAAAGACTGGAAAGTAGGTAGAACATGTTCTTTAGTATCGTTGGCGGGACATTAGAATATCAATAAAAAAATTAAGAAAAGATTAAGACATCTCGTTTTTAATGCAGTAATATTATATGTATAAATACATACCAAACGATGCATGTATACAGGTTTCATTTTTACTGGCCCCGAGATTCTGTAGAAAAATATTTTAAAAAGATCTTTCCTGTGTATTCATATGTAAAACTTTGAAACCCCATTGTGTCCCCCTCCTCCCCCCGGGGTTCATAACTTGAACAAAATTAAATTTTCTCATTTAGAAGATGTTTCTGCAGGCGATTTGTATCTTCAGGGTTAGCAAATCTTGGTGTCTTAGCAAATCTACTGTGGCCTCAATCTATCTCGGGGTCATGATTTGAACAAACTTGAGAATCTTTACACATTTGAATCTACACTACATGAGTATGATGCCACAAGAGTTTCATTTTTCCTGGCCCAGTGGTTATTTAGAAGATGAATTTTTAAAGATGTCATTATTTTTTCACTAATTCATAATTATCTTCCCTTTGGAAAATGGCGTGTTTCTTCTTTTGAAAAAACTGGAATCCGTTTTACAAATGCATACTTTTTGGCAAGTTTGGTTGTTCATGAGAAGATGAAAATGTGGAAAGTTAACGACGACAAAAAAGGCATCAACAAGGACAGATAACGGACAAATTTTGATGAGAAAAGCTAAATTTAACAATAATATCAATAAAAGATTCCGCCTTTATTTCCCGCAGTGGGGTTCGTTCTTGTAACGTAAGTATCAACTGCATACTCTGCGACTTAAGAACATCTCACTAAAGCATGTGGGCGATTCTGCTGTGTATAAAATAATAAACACTTTTATGTAAATTACCTGCACAATTCTCTCCTTCATAACTTTCAACACAGTTACATTTGTAACCACGTACACTGTTCTTATCTGCCTCGCAAGTTCCATTCTGACAATCATGTTGAACGCATACATGGACTAGAAAAAATACGGGTGGGATATTATAATATTAAAACAGAAATTAGAAAATCCGAAGTTATCTCCCTTGTTATGCATTAATATTATATGTATTTATAGTCAGTAGAAAATAGTATGAAATGCATGAAATGTATGAGTATGAAAAAAATGTTACACACTTCAATCTTCTGAGTTCATTGGGATATCTCGAGTTGACTTTTACTGTAAAATTACATATTTTCGAGGGGTCAATTTTCGTAGTTTAAGATAAATTTATTTGTTCATAAAGATTTGATTTCGTGGTTGAAGAATTCTTTAGTAGCGATATATGTGAAACGTTGTAATTCGTGGTGGACATAAATATTTTGGTCTCTTCGTACTTCCAAAACCACAAAAATGAAACCCCACTAAAATTTGTGATTTTACAGAAAGGGAAAGAGACTACTTTTCCATTGATACAAACGTTTTCAATACAAGTAGATTTACAAATGTATGTCTAAACTCGGGATTTAATGACAGGAGTTTAGAGCTTTTCAAAATAAATTTAGGAGTGTACCAGTAACAGGTCGGCTAAAAAGTAGAAAAATGAAGTCTCAAATATCCAAAAGATAACTGAAACATATCCTTAAAGACTACATGTTTTTTTTACTTGTATTAAAAGGTTTTTCCTATATATGTTTTAGTTAAGCTTTGATACCTACTGTGGCCTCACCCTACCCCAAGGGGGTTTGGGTCATGGTTAGAACAAACTTAAATCTTCGTTATCAAAGGATGTTTCTATACAGGTTTTATCTTAACTGGCCTACGGAATCTTGAGAAGATTTTTACGGTTTTTTTTCTATGTATTCCTATGTTAAACTTTGATATCCGTCTGTGGCCCCATACTGACATCGGGGGTCAGGATATGAACACATTTGAATCTTCATGACCTGAAGAGGATTTCACACTAGTTTCATCTTTTCTGGCCTATAGTGTTTCTTGAAAAGATGATTTGCTAAATATGTCCTGAATTTTTCAAAAATTCCTAATAATCTTCCCTTGGAAAAAGGACAAGGCATTTCTTTTTAACAAATTGAAATCCCCTTCACCCTTGGATACTTTGAAGCAAGTTTGGTTGAAACTGGCCGAGCGGCTCTTGCGAAAAAGATGAAAATGTGGAAAACAAACGACAACAACAACAACTACTACAATTACAGATAACAAACACATTTTGATCAAAAAAACTCCCTTATCCCTTCGGCTCAGGTGAGATAACAATAATATCGAAAGAAAAATCGACCTCCATTTCCTGCAGTAGGGTTCGTACGTGCGACGTACGTATCAACTGCATACTCTTCGAGTCAAGAACAATTGCACTTATCACTTTGGCGTATGGGCAACTTCCACTGTATAGAAAAATAATCCCTTTTATATAAATTACCTTCACAATTCTCTCCTTCGTAACCTTCCACACAGTTACATTTGTAGCCATGTGCTTTGGTCTTATCTGCCTCACAATATCCATTTTGACAATCATGATAATCGCATACATGGACTAAAAAAACAAAAACTTGGAGGATATTAGAAATATAAATACAGAAATAAGAAAATCCGAAGACTTCTGATTTGTAATGCACTTATATGATATGTATTTATAGTCAATAAAACAATCTGAGTATGAAATAAATGTTAATGGCTTAAACCTTCTAAGTTCATTGGAATATCGAGTTGACTTTTACTGTAAAATCACATATGTTCAAGGTGTCAAATTTTCCTGGTTTCGTAGAAATTTTACTGGTTCATGGGGACTTGATAACGTGGTTGAAGAATTGTTCAATAGAAATATATGTGAAACGTTGTAATTCGTGGTGGACATAAATCGGGGTCTCTTTATACCTTGAAAACCATAAAAGTTAAATCCCACTAAAATTTGTGATTTTACAGAAAGTGAAAGTAACCATTCTTCATTGATACAAACATTTTTTTTTTGATACAAGAGAATTTAAATTGTTTGCCTAATATCGAGATTTAATGACACAGCAAGAGCTTATTGTCATTTAGAGTATTTTTTAAAATACATTTAGGAGTGTATACCGGTAATAGGTCAGATTAAAAAGTAGCAAAATGAGGCTGCAAAATTCCAACAGATAATTGGAACATATCCTTAAAGACTACATACGGGTTGTATTACCCTTACAATTCTCCCTTTCATAACACAGTTACATTTGTAACCATGTGCACTGGTCGTATCTGCCTGACAAGTCCCATTCTGACAATCATGATGATCGCATACATGGACTTTAAAAATAAAAAAAAATGGAGTAAAGAAAATTAATACAGAAATAAGAAAATCGGAAGACATCTCCCTTGTTATGCATTAATATTATATGTATTTATAGTCAGTGAAAAATCTGAGTATGAAATAAATGGTACAAACTTGTACCATCTGAGCTCATTGGGATATATTGAGTTGACTTTTACTGTAAAATCAAATTTCTGAGGGGTCAAATTTTCGTGATTAAAAGAAAATTTATTGCTTCATGGGGAGTTGATTTCGTGGTTGAGCAACTGTTCAATAGTAATATATGTGAAACGTTGTAATTCGTGGTGGGACATAAATTTTTAAGTCTCTTTATACCTCAAAAACCACGAAAATTAAACTCACACTAAAATTTGTGATATTAGAGAAAGTGATAGTAATTATTTATTTATTGATACAAACATTTTAAATGCAAGTACATATTCAAATGTATGTCCTATATCATGATTATTGTCACGGGAAGAATTTTCTTCTCATTTAGAAATTTTTAAAATAAATTTAAGAATGTACCGGTAACAGGTCAGATAAAAAGGAGCAAAATGAAGTTTCAAAATTCTAACAGACAATTGGAACATATCCTTAAAGAATACATAAGGGTTGTACGAGTTTATGTACTTGTATTAATAGGATTTTCCTATGTATTTCTATGTCAAACTTTGATACCCCACTGTGACCCCACCATACCCCTTGGAGTCATGATTTGAACAAACTTGAATTTTCGATACAAAAGGATGTTTTTGTACAAGTTTCATTTTATTGGACCAGTGAGTCTTAACAAGAAATTTTTTTAATGATGCCATGAATTTTTCAATAATCCATAAAAACTTCACATTGAAAAAGGACGTGGTCTTTCATTTGAGCAAACTTAAATCCCCTTCTCCCATGGATACTTTGTAGAAGGTTTGGTTGAAATTGGCCCAGTGGCTTTTGCGAAGAAGAGGAAGAAAATCGGAAAAGTTAACGACGAGAACAACTATAACAACGACAGACAATTTTGATCAAAAGATCTCACTTGATCCATCAGTTTAGGTCAGCTTACATTAATATCGATAGAAGAATCGGCCTCCATTCCCCGCAGTGGGTTTTGTATTTAGGACGGAAGAATCGACTGTATAATCTGCGACTCAAGAACAACTGTACTTATCACTATGGCATGTGGTCAACTTATGCTGCATA